GGTGGGAGTCCAGGCACTCACCATCACGCCCGGCTAATTTTTGTACTTTTAGTAGAGATGGGGTTTCACTATGTTGACCAGGCTGGTCCTGAACTCCTAACCTTAGATGATCTGCTGGCCTCAGCCTCTCAGAGTGCTGGGATTATAGGAATGAGCCACCGTGCCTGGTCTGTAAATAAAGTTTTATTGGAACACAGCCATGCTCTTCTGTTTAATCTTGTCTATGGCTGCTTTAGTGCTACAATGGCAGAGTTGGGTAGTTGGGACAGGCACAATGTCTGTCTGTTGGGACAGACAACACAAACTCCAAAATATCTACTCTGTGGGTCTTTGCTGAAAACTTTGCTGACCCTTGGTCTAGACAAATAGTCAGATGAGCTAACTGTTGGCTAAAGGTCCTCAACTCACAATGCCAAGAGAAAGACTGAGTTGGCTTTAGCTGTTGTCATGCACTGCGTAATTTAAAAAATCTTACAAGCCAGTACAACTAAAACTCCTATTTACCTTACTTTGGAGCAATAATATGGAAAGTAAAACTAGGTCTGAATATATTTAATATATTACCTGGACTTCTAAAACATTGTTGATTGCTTAAATGTACATAAGTCAATGTCATTTCTCAAAACGTTTAATAGATGCAACTGTTGGCGGCTGCTAAAGTACTGGTGTCATGCTTGTGCCTGTGTGAAATTCTGCAATGCTGAAAACCTCATGCACTCGAGCTACGAATGTAGGTCTACTTGAAGCAAAACTCTTCAATCTAATTGTTTTCCCAATCTTTGAAACCAATTTTAAGAGTCACCAGAAAACTGTAGTTTAAGGCACCAGATACATTTCTCCGCTGAGCCTTGTAGTACCAATATGCTGGACCAGTTCAGTAAAATATGCCATAAATTACGACTGCTTTATCTGAATGCATGGGACACTTTCTACAATGGTGGGAATTATTACCAGGAGTTTAGGAGCCAGACATGGGTTCTGTATTTTTCATACATTGGTGATCAATTCAAATCGCTTTCCTTTGCAGCCAGGTTTGGTCAGTATGGCCAGGAGTACAGATTATGACAAAGAACAAAGCTGAAAGACCTGAATCATTAAGGTTACAGTCTCAATGCCACCAAGTTAAACAACCTATTTACATGCAAGACCATTGGCTGGAATGATATTGGATAGACATGTCAAACGTGATCTGAAGGCTTTTATTTTATTTTATTTTATTTATTATACTTTAAGTTCTAGGGTACATGTACACAACATGCAGGTTTGTTACATATGTATACATGTGCCATGTTGGTGTGCTGCACCCATTAACTCATCATTTACATTAGGTATATCTCATAATGCTATCCCTCCCCCCTCCTCCCACCCCACAATAGGCCCTGGTGTGTGATGTTCCCCTTCCTGTGTCCAAGTGTTCTCATTGTTCAATTACCACCTATGAGTGAGAACATGCAGTGTTCGGTTTTTTGTTCTTGTGATAGTTTGCTGAGAATGATGGTTTCTAGCTTCATCCATGTCCCTACAAAGGACATGAACTCATCCTTTTTTATGGCTGCATAGTAGTCCATGGTGTATATGTACCACATTTTCTTAATCCAGTCTATCATTGATGGACATTTGGGTTGGTTCCAAGTCTTTGCTATTGTGAATAGTGCCACAATAAACATATGTGTGCATGTGTCTTTATAGCAGCATGATTTATAATCTTTTGGGTATATACCCAGTAATGGGATGGCTGGGTCAAATGATATTTCTACTTCTAGATCCTTGAGGAATTGCCACACTGTCTTCACAATGGTTCAACTAGTTTACAGTCCCAGCAATGGTGTAAAACTGTTCCTATTTCTCCACATCCTCTTCAGCACCTGTTGTTTCCTGACTTTTTAATGATCGCCATTCTAACTGGTGTGAGATAGTATCTCATTGTGGTTTTGATTTGCATTTCTCTGATGGCCAGTGATGATGAGCATTTTTTCGTGTGTCTGTAGGCTGCATAAATGTCTTCTTTTGAGAAGTGTCTGTTCATCTCCTTTGCCCACTTTTTGATGGGGTTGTTTTTTTCTTGTAAATTTGTTTGAGCTCTTTGTAGATTCTGGATATTAGCCCTTCATCAGATGAGTAGACTGCAAAATTTTTCCCATTCTGTAGGTTGCCTGTTCACTCTGATGGTAGTTTCTTTTGCTGTGCAGAAGCTCTTTAGTTTAATTAGATCCCATCTATCAATTTTGGCTTTTGTTGCCATTGCTTTTGGTGTTTTAGACATGAAGTCCTTGCCCATGCCTATGTCCTGAATGGTATTGCCTGAGTTTACTTCTAGGGTTTTTATGGTTTTAGGTCTAACATTTAAGTCTTTAATCCATCTTGAATTAATTTTTGTATAAGGTGTAAAGAAGCGATCCAGTTTCAGCTTTCTACATATGGCTAGCCAGTTTTCCCAGCACCATTTATTAAATAGGAAATCCTTTCCCCCCTTTCTTGTTTTTGTCAGGTTTGTCAAAGATCAGATGGTTGTAGATGTGTGGTATTATTTCTGAGAGCTCTGTTCTGTTCCATTGGTCTATATCTCTGTTTTGGTACCAGTACCATGCTGTTTTTGTTACTGTAGCCTTGTTGTATAGTTTGAAGTCAGGTAGCATGATGCCTCCAGCTTTGTTCTTTTGGCTTAGGATTAGACGTCTTGGCAATGCAGGCTCTTTTTTGGTTCCTATGAATTTTAAAGTCATTTTTTCCAATCCTGTGAAGAAAGTCAATGGTAGCTTGATGGTAATGGCATTGAATCTATAAATTACCTTGGGCAGTATGGCCATTTTCACAATACTGATTTTTCCTATCCATGAGCATGGAATGCTCTTCCATTTGTTTGAGTCCTCTTTTATTTCGTTGAGCAGTGGTTTGTAGTTCTTCTTGAAGAGGCCCTTGTAAGTTGGATTCCTAGGTATTTTATTCTCTTTGAAGCAATTGTGAATGGGAGTTCACTCATGATTTGACTCTCTGTTTGTCTGTTATTGGTGTATAAGAATGCTTGTGATTTTTGCACATTGATTTTGTATCCTGAGACTTTGCTGAAGTTGCTTATCAG